TTCTGTCTCTCTGTCTCTCTCTCTGTCTGTCTGGTGAGCGCACGCGCCCTATAGTGAAAACCTCTCAAAAAATAAATAAATAAATAAATAAAATATAATTCTTAAATATAATTTTCTTATATGTTCTTAATTCTTTATATAAGCATTTTTCTTTGCTTCCTGTAGTCATTTAAATGATACTCTCTAATCCATCAGAATTTATTTAGGAGTACATTTTCTGAAGCAATCATTTATTTTCATATTAATAACAAAATGTTTATGATCATTTATTAAATTATCCTTCTTTATCTCATTCATATGTAATCACACTTCTAACATTTTCTATTTGTATTGAAGATACTAAATTATCTTAGTTCCTTTTTATTTTTCACTGGTTTAGAAGATGGGGGAACTTCAAAAACTATATGGAAAACTGGGATTAAAATATGAGTTCATTGGGGCCAGCAGTTGGCGTAATGGCTATGACGCTGGACTCCCAGGTAGTCAACCACAGTTCAAGTCCTGGACCCGGTGGCTTAAACTCATGCTGGGCCCACGTGTGTGCATGTCCAAGATCCTGAGAGGAAAATGGAGGAAAAGAGATTGAGGCATGACCATCCCCCTGGCTCTCTGTCTCTCTCCGTCTTTCTGTTAAAAGCACATACTCTATTGCAAAAAAGAAAAAAAAGAAAAAGCAAAACAGAATTTATTTTGGTGAAAAACAGTTTGAAATTCATGAACAGTTTTTTTTTCATTTCTGTCTTTTTTTTATTTTTAATTTTTTAAAAAATTTGTCAGAAGGCAGGACCAGCAGATGGTGTAATGACTATGTTGCTGGACTCCCATGTAGTTGAGTAAGGTTCAAGTCCCAGACCCGGTGGCTGAAACTCACGCCAGGTGTGTGTTTGTGCGTGCCTAAGATCCCGAGAGGAGAATGGAGGAGAAGGGATTGTGGTGTGGCCATCCCCCCTGGGGGGTGATTTCTCGCTTTCTGTCTCTCCATCTCTCTCTGTCTTTCTGATGAGTGCACGCGCCTTATAGCAAAAAACTCTCAAAAAAGAATAATTGTCAGGAGGCTCATGTGCTTGCCAGAAACAGTGAAAGGGAAAGATTGAGAGAAAGCAACCTCCCTGGGGAATGGTCACATCTCAATCCTTTCTCCACCATTTTGCCCTCCTTTTGGTATTTTGGGTATATATGCACATGTGCCTGGCATGTTTTTTTCAAGCCATTGAATCTGGGACTTGAACTGCATAATCCCTCATGTGGGATATGGCTGCCTTAACCACATAGCCATGGACTAGCTCATTTTTTTTTTCATATTATGGATTTTGTGTGAATTTTCTGAAAGCCTCTTATACATACTTTATGTGCTTTATCTTATGAAACCCATAATTATTATCATACACACTTTAATCAACAAATTCAGTGATTATAAGTACTTCTGTGTTGGGACCAGCAGATGGCATAATGGTTCCATTGCTGGACTCCCACGTAGTCGACTGCAGTTTGAGTCTCAGACCTGAAGGCTTAAAATTCATGCTGTATGTGTGTGCATGTATACCCAAAATGCTGAGAGGGGAACGGAGGAGAAGGGATTGCAGCGTAGCCAATCCCCTAAGGAGGTTGATTTCTCATTTTTTATCTCTCTCTCTCTGTGTCTCTCCAGTGAGTGCCTGTTCCCTATAGCAAAATACCTTTCTCAAAAGAAAAAATACTTTTGTGTATCTCTCTGACAATAACATGGTAGAAACATTAGCATGGTGTAACTGTGAACGTGCCTCTCTCATCTCCCATAGTTTTGTGGCCTAAGATTTCACTTGTGCCTTATTCTTACTCCCTCCAAATTAGTCAGTACCATTGCTGCTGCTCCATTGTAATAATGAACATTTTATATAATATGTATTTAGAGTTACTGAATTTTACCAGTCTCTATGACCAGTTTTGCTTTTCATCCTTCCTGTTACTTCTGTGTTGGAATTCCTATTGCTCTTTCATTGAGCGAGTAGCAAATGGTCTTGGATTTTGCACAATTGAAAATGCCTTTATTTTGCCCACAGTATTGAAGAATAACCTGACTGAACACATAGTTGTTCAGGGACAGTTAGTTTTTTACAACATAGAAAATATTATTCCCTCACCTTTGGAAATTGATTGATGTTAAAGACTTTGCTATCAAATTATTGCTTCTTTGTAATTTTCTCTCGTACCTTTTAATTTTCCCGTTGTTCTGCAATTTTCCTGTTTCGTCTGTGTATAGATTTGCTTTCATTTAAAGTTTGTTGCCTTGTGTGTTAGTAAGAGCAGATAAATTACTATTTTTTTCTTTAATGGTTCTCTGTTATCTTTGCAGAGACTGTTTCCCACGCTCTCCATCACTTCCCAGGGAAACCTTCTTTAGATCTATAAAGAATCTCCCCATCTTTTGTTCTGATTCTTGGTTTCCCTTTAATATTTGTTTCTATTTTTATTGTTTTGAGAGAGGTTTCTGCTATAGGATGTGTGTGCTTGCCACAGAGACAGAGACAGAAATGAGAAATCACTCTCCAGGGGGAATGGCCACATAGCAACCCCTTCCCCTCCATTCTCCTCTCAGGATTTTGGGTATACACACAAATTCGCCCAGCACCAATTTTAAGCCTCTGTGCCCAGCATGAATTTTAAGCCACTGGGCCCAGAGTGAGTTTTAAGAAGCCAGGTCTGATACTCAAACTCTGCTCAACTATGCAGGAGTCCGGCCTCATAACTATTATGCCATCTGCTGGTCCCTAATATTTTCTTTACTTTTATCTCTATCTACTTAATTCTGGATAATGTTTAAAATCGGCCTTCCAGTTCTTAATTCTCTCCTCGATTGCCTATGGCATAATTGATCCTTTGACAGATAAATCTACTAACTGCTGTCTGTATATATTGGTTCAGAAATTGCATGATGCATTTTTGCATAGAAAAATAGGTCATGACTTTTCTGACAACCCAGTACATTTACTTATAAATGTGTGTTTATATTTTTTCAAAGGTCGTATTTTCCATGCATCATGATTTTATTTAATTATTTTACAAATCTATCTGTTCCCTTTCATAATATTTTACTTTTGTGTGGTTAATTCTATTTCTCCCTTTAGTTAAACGATTTAATCATATGCAGTCTGTATGAGAAGACTCAGTGAGTAATGAACCTGAGTTTTATTTTTCCAATGACTACAACCAACCATGTCAAACTTCACTTTCTGCCTAGTAGTTAGTTTCTTAAACAGAATTTCAACCTGATCTCATAACTTTTTTTTTGGAGAGGTTTTTGCTATAGGGCGCATGCACTTGCCAGAATAAC